TTCTCTAAACATTGGCGAATGTATCTATTGCCATCTAGGGGCGGTAGTCGTGGTCCCGTCACTACCTCTTGCTCAGTTTTGCCTGCCATAGAGATTCCTTCCCACACTGTCCATGATCCTCCACCATAACTCACTTTCTCATCAATACAGCATTGCGCGAAACGCTCGTTCTGTCTTCGGTACACCTTACTCCTTCCGTCATTACCGTATAGCATTATCTTGGACTCATCTGTGAAGAGAACCTGGCTCCATTGATGTCGAGTCCGATTTAGATGTTCGCGCGCAAACTCTAGACGGGATATTCGGTGTGCTCATGCTAATTTGGGTCCATTGGCTGGCTTATGGGGCTTCAAACCACGTTCATTGAGTCGCCTTCTAACGGTCCGAGCACTTACAGCCACTCCCTGAAAGTCCCTGAGCTGTTCTTCTATCTGAACAGAGTTAAGGCGTCGATTTCGTAAGCTAGTGGTGACAATGTATTGATCTTGTCTCGCCGTGTCACTCGGTAACGAGGTCCTCCTGTTCTCCGAACGAAGCCGCCAGTCTCCAGGTATCGGTGATACACTCTTTGAATAGCGGAACGACTTATGTGAAGTTGTGAACTCACATCTCGCTGACTTAGCCCAGATTGAAGAAGTGCTACAGCTTGCGCGTCTACTTCAGGTGAAGTATCCATAATTTTATAGCCAAAAACGGTTCAAATTATAGAAAAATAACTAAACTAAACTTTGGTTTACAACAATTGCGAAAATTCAAACCAAATCGACATTAAATTGCTTCAAAAGCAACTTTCAACAGTCATTTTTTTTTTCAAATCAGTGACTAAGCTCGGCTTTTGGTCTTTATTTTAAATTCTAAAATTCAAATTTGGAATAATACATACGGGAAAGACGATGAAATATGCCAGCATTAAAAATGCATAAAAACTTTTTTGTTATATTGTATCTTTTTTGTGTATTGGGCTTTTAGGCCGGGGAATGTAATATGTAAATATAAATATGTAATGTAATGGCTCGATTCAAGAGCCCGGGAGTGTATATATCACAATAACATCGCAATCCATTATTCATCAATTATAATGATAAAACATCAAATAAGTGTCGATAATTATTGTATTGATAATAATACTTAAATAGCATTCTAACGATAAACCAACATAAAAATAGTTTTGCTTAGAATGAAATTAAACATAACGAAAGAAAGAACTACAACAAAAAACTTTTGTTCTCAAACTAAAATTATAAAAAAAATAAAAATATTTTAAACTAAATCTATCAAGTTGGCTTTTTCGATAAGCTTCTGTGAGGTAGTCAACACGACAATAAAGTTCTCACGTCCATTTCACCGGAATAGCGTATATTTTAACGATTCCACTAATTCTTCAGTTACGCAGACGGTTGTTACACAAAATTACACCAATTTTATTTCACAATATCCACTATGAACGAATTTAAGAATAATTAAAATAAGACGCCAACCGCACTCGATGAAATCCCGCCAAAAACTCCAACGTACGTTTTTAAACTCTCCAAATATGCTCGCGCATGCTTAAAACATACGATCAGCAAATGTTTCTAAACACATATCAACTGTACCTGCGTAGATGAAACATATAGATAGTCATACTACGAAAAATGCGAGTAACGAGATTTCTTCTTCTTGTTGTTGCTACGGGCGTTTCCGCAACTCGACGTCCTTATGGCGCCTGTTTTGCGTGAGGAGGGTGTATGGCCGGAATCACTCCAGCCAGCCCAGCTCCCCCAGGAACGCCCCCAGGGCCTTCACATTGGTGACTGCCTCTTGAAGGTTTCCCGGTGAGCCGAGGTATTTCGCCCGGTATTCGGTCACTCCGTTGCATTCCAGCAGAACGTGAGTAGCTGTTTCTTCTGCCTCCATGCATCCTCTGCATAGGGGGCTGTCCGTGACACCTAAGTTGAAAAGATGTCTGTTAAAATGTGCATGTCCAGTAATAGCACCCGTTACCATGCGCAATGTAGGTTTGCTTAGCTGTAGGAAAGTTTTGGAGAAGGCAGCGTTCACCCGTGGCAAAGCGAGCTTGGTCTGCCTGCACGTCTACAGGTCGAGCCAGTATTGCTGGTGTAGTTCGGCAGTGTGCTCGCGGATTTTATTGACGAGACAGCTTACCGGTATTGGGACGAGATTTATTTGTGTGTAACGTTTCGTTACTCGGTACTAGATGGCGCACCCGTTACTCAGTACCGAATACATACGGTTTGCTACAGCTCTAATGTTTACATTATTCTGATTTTGTGATAAAGCTAAGCCTTAGCCTCCACGACAACGGCTAATTATGTCTAGAGGCTCCAGACGAAGAGGAGACTCCCCCCGCGGGGAGATGCCATCCGCCTGGAATAACTCTAGAGGCAGTCGCCAATTCTCGGCTTGAGGTCCCCTTAGGATCTCGCCGTCCCCAAACCCGGTGACGCTGTAAAGGTCACACCAACAGCATACACACTCAAAAAAAAAGCTAGGCCTTGGTGGTAGACTGGTTAGCGCCATAGATAAATGATTCATTCCAATCATTTATCTATGGTTAGCGCTTACAGTTTGCGTTTCAGGGAACTAACGCTTACAGCGCCTTCGCTATGTTTGGTCATAGAATATAAGTTTTATGAACATGAGCTCCAAAGCCGTTTTAACCTGCATTGGTTGGATGCATCTGCAGTCGTTAACACCAATCCGTACTGGGTCTGTTTGTTCTGTACCTCAATAGTGAAGAATGCAGTAGGACCTGCTATGCGACATGATTTTAAGAAAAAAGAACTTCTTTAAAATTATTAGAAAAAAAGAAAATTAAAATTAAAATAAGAAAACGTTTATAATTTTAAATGCAATACTTTAACCCTTTCGACGGTTATAATAAAATACGTCATGTGTTTTTTCACAATTCACGAGTTTTCCGATTGGAAGGTAAAATAATCCGTATATGCAGTTCCACTTATTATTAAAAATAAAATGATGTCTTCTTTCAGTAAAATATCCTATCGTCAATATTTATTATACTTTCCCTTCGTGTGGCTGCCCGTTGGACGCCCTGTATATGACCAAAAAATTACTATCTCGAGCTCTAAATAACGCGCTACATAATCCCATATGCCACTGCACTCGATCGATCGCACCCACTAAACCGCACTGCGGCCGGCGTGGTGGGCCATGACTCCCTATTCTAACATATTATTATTATGATGGTGAGTTGTCAATCAACATATTGTTGCATCTACATTCGTTGCATTGACAGCTTGAAAATATCTAGTGTCGCCGCACACGGGCCACACGTCACAGCCACAAACGCCGCCACGAGAAGCTAGAAGCGGCTACTAAAGTGGCTGAAGCGCGCGACAGCCGCCGACTAAGGTAAGGAAGAGGGGGTGGGGAATCGCGCGAGTGACATGTGGCGGCATTTTGTATTGGCGCATTAAGTGGCCGGTGCAGGCCCAACGAAGCGAGCAACGACGATTAGTAGCGTGTGGCGGCCACCGGCGTATCGTGTGTGGCGAGTCCATACAAAATGTATGAAAACTACAAGAAATATGCCGGTGGCGGCGTTTTGTGGTTGTGGTCGGTGGCACGTGTGCGGCGACACTTAATGCTCCGATACAAAACGCCGCCACACGTCACACGCGCGATTCCCCACCCCTCTCTTCCTTACCTTAGTCGGCCGCTGTCACGCGCTTCAGCCACTTTAGTAGGCGCTTCTAGCTTCTCGTGGCGGCGTTTGTGGCTGTGGCGTGTGGCCCGTATGCGGTGACACTTATAATAAAGAATTGTCTACTAGACCAGAGCTATCAGTTTCTTGCTTAGTTTAATTACCCAACTAATTTCTTTGGAGACTGTTGTATTATTTTTACCCAGTGTTGTTAACGTTACCACTCGTATGTGATAAATATCTCGAATCTAAGAGCAGAGAGAGGTATTGTATTGGATAGGTGTAATAAAACCGATTTCTGCCTAATAAACCAGTTTTACGGTGCGCAACCACTCAAGCTATGTCAGAATGTGCGTCAATAATCTTCTTAACTACTGTATTATATGAGTAAGCTAGTTTATTGGGGTGCATTTAGCTAAAGTTTATCATTGCAATAAATCGGATCAATTAAATCTATGGTTATTCGAGCATTATATTGCGAATGTTATAAACTTAGTATCTGTTTAGTAATCTATGATAAAAGTTTATTAAAGGACAACGATTTTCACATACTATAGTGAAAAATGTAGACATAAAATGCAACTTTAACTTATGAAAGAACGCTTATTTATAAACTCCCAACTTCTGGGCTGCCGTTCTAGTGAAGTATGCAGTAAGAACTAACATTTTAAGAAAATGGCTTTTAATCTAAGTATATTTTATTTCAAATAACATAGCATTTTAAATGTAAGGGAGATTATGAAATTTTAATTTTGATCTGTATACGTCTTGTGGGTGCCCGCGACTTCATCTACGTGGAAAAAATGTTGTCCCATAGTTCCACACCTTCCCCCACTTTTCACCCCCTTAAAAGACGATTTCTGGGATAAGCACTATCCTATGTCCTTTCTGGGACTTAAACTATATCTACGCCTTCTTCTAATTCAGTTCAGTGGTTTAAGCGTGAAGAGGTAACAGACACACAGACAGAAAGATAGACAGACACACTTTTGCAATTTTTAATACTAGTATGGATGCATCTCTGTAAATAATAAAACGGGGAGTAAAAAAACAGCCCTTGCTGAGTTTCTTGTCGGTTCTCAGTTCCGCCGTAGATTTACGAACCGATGGCGTAGCTTTTAGACATTTACGAGTGCTTGTAACAGCCTAAACAGAAATGATTTTGATTATTATGATTATATCAGACCATTGCAAAAGTTGCTTGACTTCCACGATTGCTGTCCGTACACGCCAATGTTTTGCGCCATTCGTCATCCCCCTGATTGGCTCCCTCTTCGATTTCCATGCGTTCAAAAAGTTCCTAAAAGGAATGAATCATTCTGATTGTCAACAGGCAGATCAAGTTCCTGGCAATGCACCACATCGACGGGTTCAATCTGAACTCCTCGCACGACTACTACCGCGAGTACTTTCCGAAGATCAACACCAGCATCGTAAAGCATCTCAACATCACAGAATGCACCATCGGACGGCAACTGGAAGAGGTAAATACATATCTCTCTTTTCACACACTTGATTAATAGGTCGGCTCTGGCATATACTAAGGTGTCCCAGAAGTAGAGACAAAATAATCTCAACAATATTTGATTAAAAACTAAACCGATATCATATGAATTTGGAATGCAAATGAATATAAAACTAATTTGCTCCATTCGGTGCCGAGACCCCTGGTCCGTGGGTTCCTAGCGCTATAAGGCTTTTTAAGGAAATAGCAAAAAGGTTAGTCGACATCACAGGAGACCAAAGAGCTAGTAGATATGATTTTATTTATTTTTTAAGCATTTAACTGCTAGATGTTTAAATCTAAAGAAAAGTTTACTAGAAAAAAATCCACGCGGACCAGGCAGCGGACGGGACGGGTTTTTTTCTAGTAAACTTTTCTTTAGCTAGTAGATACCTCGGACAAAGAATTAGTCTAGCTACTCAAAGGGGGAACGCTGCCAGTATCTTCGGAACCTTGTCTAAAGGGACTCCTTTTAATAATATATATTATTAATTATATTATACTTATATTACTGAGGTTTTTAGTTTTAGGATCATTGTTCTAGTATATATTTTTTTAAACTAATTGATCTGTAATGTCTGTGTAAAATTGGCTCCAGCGATATCTTTGTATTCAATTTTGCTCAGATTTATAACAATACGCTTCATGATCGCTTTTTAAGATGTAGCTGCTACTCTAAGATGACTTTATTGGTCTTTATTGGAATTATTGGTCTTTCATCTATGCTGCTGCTCTTTTAGCTAATCAACCATAGGTTTTTGAAAGATGTCAGCGTTTGTGGTACATCTGTGTTGCGTATGTCTCATCATCATTTTTTTTAATTCAAATATAAAGTTATTTCATAAACTTTACGTCACCCTCGCTTGGCACTTGCCTCCTGGGGGCCAATCGCCTAACGGAAATGCTTTGGAAAACGCTAACGCTTACGATTTTATTTTGTTATTTCTAGCCGCCTGAGGTATACAAATGCCTCGCGCTCTTTCTTTTTCTTTTGCATTGGTAATAACAATATTAAAAAAAATGAGCGTGAGGTATTCGAAAACCTCAGGCGGCTAGAAATAACAATATAAAATCGTAAGCGTTAGCGTTTCCCAAAGCATTTCCGTTAGGCGATTGGCCCCCTGGTCTTTGACATATTTGGGGGCAGCTACTTTTACAAAAGCTTTCAAGCCTGTATTATTACCTTTTTAACTTCAATGATTTCTGGGATTAAAACAATCCTGTGTCCTTTCTTAGGATTCAAGCTATATCTTTAGCAAATTTCACCTTAAACGGTTCATCGGTTGAAGCATAAAGAGGTAACAGACAGACAGATGCATAAATTTTTGATTCATAATTGAAAATCATCATCATCGCAGACTATTAATGTCCCCACTGCTGGGGCACAGGCCTTCCCTATGGATGGAATGGGGAGATTGGATCGTCACCAACCACGCGGGCCCTGTGCGGATTGGTGGGTGATAATTGAAAATATCTGCATGCATTTCCTTTGTCGCTAACCAGCATTATTTTCTTTCAGGCAGCCGAAGGCACCGGCCTCGCATTCATAGTGTTCACGCAAGCTATCCTGAAGCTGACTCCTGCGCCGTTCTGGTCCGTGACCTTCTTCCTGATGCTGCTGTCGCTTGGGCTCGGAAGCCAAATCGGCATCATGGAGGGCATGCTGTGCACCATCTTTGATATCGACTTCTTCAAGCGATTGAGCAAACCTGTCATCACTGGTAAGACCTCCTGGTGTGACCTGTTACTCATCATCATCAGCCTATAATGTCCCCACTGCTGGGGCACAGGCCTGCCCTATGGACCTGTTACTCAATTTTACTAATATTCAAAATTCGTGCGATTCTCAATTGGCCAGTGACAGTGACAGGCTAATCTCTCATAATCAGCCTATTAATGTCCCCACTACTGGGGCACAGGTCTTCCCTATGGATGGAATAGGAAGGTTGGGCTATGACCTACCACGCGGGCCCAGTGCGGAATGGCTGGTGCTAACGACTGCAGATGCAGCTGGAACCAACGGCCGAGGAACTCGAGATAGAAGATTTTTGGTCACCCATCCAATGACCGACCAATGCGAAAGTTGCTTAACTTTTACGATCGAAGCCAAACGCGGTTACCATCTGCGCCATCGAGCTCCTCCTCGGATAATCACTCACTTCCATAAATATAAATATAAAGAAAGACTTGTTAAGAACACGAGAAATGACCCCTCACCCTGATGCACGCAGTACCTTTGGGTGCGTTGATCATCCAGACTAAGTCCGTGAATGCGTCCTCTTCTCTATTTGCTGTGCCCTATTCAGGGTCTACAATGATCAAAGCAATGTACCTACCAAGATCTAAGAAAACATTGTAGAACGCAACAAAGTATTGATTGATTGATTGTCTCCAAATGATTAGGTACTAGATATAGACACTAAGCACCGTATTATAGAAAGACTAGCAAACCAGTGAACCAAATGTTCACCAAAACCTGATTTCTCGAAAACCGGAAGTGCTACGTTACTCAAATCCGGTTTGTAGTCTTATCAGACTATTCTTAACTTATAACTTAAATATTCTCTTTATCTATCTCTTACGGTTTGGCCGCTGAAACAGCACCACGGACAGACGGACTTGTCTAATAGATAAGAGACTAGCAAACCAGTGAACCAAATGTTCACCAAAACCTGATTTCTCGAAAACCGGAAGTGCTACGTTACTCAAATCCGGTTTGTAGTCTTATCAGACTATTCTTAACTTATAACTTAAATATTCTCTTTATCTATCTCTTACGGTTTGGCCGCTGAAACAGCACCACGGACAGACGGACTTGTCTAATAGATAAAAGACTAGCAAACCAGTGAACCAAATGTTCACCAAAACCTGATTTCTCGAAAACCGGAAGTGCTACGTTACTCAAATCCGGTTTGTAGTCTTATCAGACTATTCTTAACTTATAACTTAAATATTCTCTTTATCTATCTCTTATGGTTTGGCCGCTGAAACAGCACCACGGACAGACGGACTTGTCTAATAGATAAGAGATTCTCAGTAATTAATCTAGTCTTGAGCATAGTCAGAAAGGGTAAGGGGTCTAACTCGAGTAAAGATCATCACTTAGTTGTCATTTTGTAATACGAGCCTCAGTATTTCCCCTCAGGTGTAGTTTGCGCGTTCTGCTTCCTGGTTGGTCTGATCTTCACGACGGGCGCGGGCGAGTACTGGCTGAAGATGTTCGATTCCTTCGCGGGCACCATCGGCCTCGTGGTCATCGCGCTACTGGAGATGATCGCCGTCATATACATTTATGGACACGAAAGGTGAGACTTTTTATCGAACATATTTGTTTCTTAGGTTTTCACGCACATCACTCATTAAATAAAACTAGTTTTTACGGGTTAATGCACGAAACTTTATTTATTTATTGACGTTTCGCAGCCTTTTCATGTCTGCATCGTCAGAATAATGATTTTTTATTTGAATATGAAATAAAAAATCATTATTCTGACGATGCAGACTTGAAAAGGCTGCGAAACGTCAATAAATAAATAAAGTTTCGTGCATTAACCCGTAAAAACTAGTTTTATTTATCGAACATGTTTCAACGTCCTTTGGTGTATTTTTATGTTAAATTTATTATATTTTTACTCTGTGAGCATTTAACTGCTAATAGATGTTTAAATGTGGAGAAATTTTTACTAGAAAGTATCCCATGCGGTCCAGGAAGCTGACGGGACTTGAACCCGCACGCTCCGGTATCCGGACGGATGCACTGACCAATTATGCTACCACGACCTTAATGGCACTGTCGAATTTCTTCTAGTATTTCTTTTAAGGTGTGATCCCACGATGAGTGTTGTCTCATACGCAGTGTTGCCAGGTCCGATTTTTTAAAATCAATAAAAATTTGAAAATTGGGAGGCGTAAAGAATAATTGTAAATGATCTCTAAAAAAATACAAATACCAACTTTTAGGTACGCAATTGTATTTTTGGTGACAGTAAAAGAAACAAAGGTGGGTAAACGAAAATATGGGAAGATGATCTAAAAAAGATGGCTGGTCCAGAAAGGATTAGAGTTGCAAAGGATAGAGGAAAATGGAAATCTTTGGAGGATGCCTAGGTCGAAAGACGAGTTGTTTTTAAATATAATGTGCCGGACGCTGATAATTTAGAATAAAAAAAAAATACGTGTGGCACTCGGGGACTGCCGCGGTAAAGCTATTGCATAGCATTATTTATTACTTATGCAATTATAATTATTTATGTATTTTATTTATGCAGTATTTTTTTTCTTTGATATCAATTCAAGTTTTTTCATTGATATTAATAGATGGCGAGGCAGGCCTTATGATATTTTATTGGGCAAGCACAGCAAACAACAGCATTGCCCGGCGCCAAAAAACTTCCACAAGCTCCACAGTTTACCATCTTTAGTCCAAAAATTTAAATTATAATTTTAAAGTCTAAATAAAAGGGAGACAAATAAAAATAAGAAAAGGTGCTGGGGTCCAAAACAAATATAAAAAAAAGGAAAAAAAAAATACGAGTGCGGGAATTGAACCGACGACCGCGGTGATGCGTCGAACGTTGGTCCCGTGGCAAAAATTTATCACACTGCGTCGTTTCAATCGACACTGCAAAGGCGAAAATTGTGTTCATATGCACTGTTGTCAGGTTATTTCCATTACGGAATTTTTTGATTCGGTCGCCGCGCTCAAAGCCCGCGATAAAATCTATGCAATAGCTTAAAAAAAGTGAATTAGAATAAGAAAATATTATTTGATAAGAAAGTTCTTTTGCATCTTCCAAAACTTTAATCTTACCATGATCGTGATTAACAATGTTTCGTTTCACAGATTCACGAACGACATCTACGAGATGACCGGGTACCGCCCGGGCATATACTGGCAAGTGACGTGGCGTTACGTGGGCCCATTCATCGTTGCCATCATCCTCTTGTCCTCCGTGGTGTCCATGCTCATCTCCCCGCCGGAGTATAGCGCTTGGGACGCAGACTTGGTAAGTATGTAATACTAGCTGTGCCTAGGGCTGCCACCCGTACTTTATTATAAAGTACTAGCAAACCAGTGAACCAAATGTTCACCAAAACCTGATTTAAAAAAAAAAAGAAAAAAAAGATATTTAATTAATTGAGAACTTCGGAGATTTTGTGTCGTTTCGTTTGAAATTCGTGATTTCTCGAAAACCGGAAGTGCTACGTTACTATCAGACTATTCTTAACTTATAACTTAAATATTCTCTTTATCTATCTCTTACGGTTTGGCCGCTGAAACAGCACCACAGACAGACGGACGGACTTGTCTAATAGATAAGAGATTGTACGTTATTACGAGGAGCTCGATGGGGCAAGTGGTTAACGCGTTCGGCTGCCATCGTTGAACTTAAGCAACTTTCGCAGAGGTCGGTCATTGGATGGGTGTCCAAAAATTACTATCTTGAGCTCCTCCGTGCTCCGGAAGGCACGTTAAGCCGTTGGTCCCGGTTGCATCTGCAGTCGTTAGCACCCACCAACCCGCACTGAGCCCGCGTGGTGGGTCATGGCCCAATCTCCCTATTCCATCCATAGGGAAGGCCTGTGTCCCAGCAGTGGGGACATTAATAGGCTGATGATGATGACATTATTTCGATACACTTGTATACTTTATGCATACAATAAAGTACGCAAAAATACTTTATTTAATGTGGTTCGATTTCTCGGGGGTTAATTTTGCATAAAATATACAAAAAGAGATTGATAGGAAGAATTTTTGCGTAAAACAGACAGACATTATGTATAAAATGTCGCCCTTAGCTCATTCTTGCAACATTGTGGTGGCTGTATGGCTTTGTACCTTTCCCGTTGCGGAAAAAAATTACAGATTTTCAGTAGCAACAAATTATTTATTAAAAGTTGCTGGAAAGCAACGTAAAATATATTATTAAGCTTACGAATGAAGTGGAATAAAAAGTACTTTATTATGGACACAATGTACTTTTTTTCTCGTTTTAATATCCATTGTATCTACTTTATTTGGACAGAAAAAGGTGGCAACCATAGCTGTGCCCCGCGGTTTCTTAGGGATATTTTCCCGCAGTAAAACGTAGCCTATGTATTAATCCAGGGTATCAGCTAACTCAATACCAAATTTTATTAAAATCGCTTCAGCCGTTTAGACGTGTAGAAGTTACAAACATACACACTCACAAACTTTCGCTTTTATAATATTAGTGTGACGGATTATGTTCTTCAGGAATGTTTTGTTTAGCAAACATTAATTGTGAGCGATTACATAGACGAAGATAATATAAATAGGGGTATAAGATTAATACCTTCTATAAGATTATGATGGTTTTTGATGTGTAACATCTTTCCTCTCGCTTTCCTGCTATTTGTGGGTGGATTTCGTGAAATAGGACGGAAGTGTGTAACAGGAAATGATTTTAGAACAGAATGTTCAAATGGCTTATTCCTTTTGTAGTAGGTTTTATTTCGTTTTTTACTAATATAAGGTGAGGTTTCAAATGTTACACATCATACGCGACTACTGTAAGGCTCGCTCGTTTTTTATTAATATCATCTAATATAGCAGTACCTCTCTCATTAAATTTAATAGGTGAAATTAGTTTAATTATTAGTTAATAGTATGGAATAACGTCTAGATTTCTTAAGTGGTCCAGATGGAATCCTTTTCCAACGTTAGATCAAAATCTTCACAATTTGACCATGTATTGGAAATATAGTAAAAAGTAGAGTTACTAGAAATTTTTTGAAAGTGGTCTACCAATAAAAAGATTCGTAATCTTTAGTCTAGATGAAGAGGGATAGAAACATACATTTTAAGTTTAATTGCACGATCGGCAGACATTTACAAAATTTAAAAAAAAAACAGTAATAATAATCGAAAATTAAACGACGGCAGTTTAAGAATAATTTCACGTAGGCTTAAGACTTTTTCCTTCAGGCTTACTCTCCATACTATTAAAATGTTGTGATTAATTTCGTTTTTTTATCCAATATAAAAATACATACACTGACGGCATAACATTAGCGCTTTTTACAAAAAATAAAAATATAAACAATTGCGTTACGTATTATATTTCAGTATCAAAAGAATAAAATACACACTTGTACATAAACACTTGTACAACATAATAAAATAATTTCTACCAAAACCTTTTGGTTTTTTTACTTTTGGAACACATAGTCCTTTTCGTGAGTCTTCCAGAAGTCGTCCCAGAACTCCATGCGTGCCTTATACACGTGATTTTCCATCTTCATCTCCTTATCTATATTCAAATAGGCCCTGTCAGTCTTCAGGGCTGGTTTCCAAACTACTGGTATTAAGTCAGTTCTACACTTCGTTGGATTTCTGTAAAAATATATTACTATTACTTACATATACAGTACCTACTACTATGTGCTTACCTGGGCAGGATACTATGCAAATTTAAAAAAATCGCTGGTCTAACTGTTGCTATCATCATTATCTGTGTTAAAGCTTAAAGTTATATAAGCTTGGTTGTCTTTCAGCTTAAAGTTAAGCTCGAATAAATAAATAATTAATAAATATATTCAACACTCACACCAACTAGCCTAGCCCCAAAGTAAGTTACTTGTGTAATGGGATACTAGGGTAATAGATACAATACATATACTGTACAGATTGAAGTATATTTATATAGAAATACACATTAAACATCCAAAAATCTCTTATATAACATATAGTACTTTATTTAACTACGGTGATAAAGATTTAAAAATAAACTAAGTATTAGCTAAAGTTCCTAAAATAATATATAAACAAACATCCATGATTGCAATTCATCACAGAAACATCTGCCCCCACCGGGATTCGAACCTCTCGAGTAGGCGACACCATGAAACCCGGCGTACCAACCACTCGGTCACGGAGGTCGTCAAATATCATATCAGGTCGTCGAATAATATAATAAGTTATTGATTGGGACGTGAAACCAAATTATTCAAAAATCTCAATTATTTGAGAATTTAAACCACACATTTCTCAATGACCAAATTTGATCTAAGAATCATACCAGAATCGGTCCTATTATATATATATATATATATTTCTCCTCTCTTATTTCATATTAGTTATTATACTTACCCATACTTGACGAAATCCGCCCACAGCTTGGTCATTCTCTCCCTCATCTTCAAATTTTCATCTCCTGTCAGCACGTCCGCTTCGCTCCACTCGAATAAATACTGCAATTCTTCAGTATGATACGCACCGACACCGGTAATGTTTCTGTAAGGACTATTCCCAGTGTAAGAGAACAGATACTTATAGACTATAGCGTTTTGATTCAAAAATCTCGTAACAGCTTTCTCCTCTGGGTGGTTGATGAAAAAATCACCCATAAAGTCTACGAGTTCCAGCATTGTTTCTTTAGAAACTTTCTTGTTGCCCAAATAAAATCTTTTCACCCTTTCTGCTTCTCTTTCTAATTCTTCTTTGCCAAGTTTATAGTTATCACGAATTTTCTTCAGAAATATATCTTGATTATCTTCATAGAATTGATCAGGTTGAATTACGAAATCATTAAATGTCTCTTTGCTGTTATAACCAATCATTATCGGGGTTCCGCTGACTTTTTTTAAGTTGAAGAAATGCGATGAATTAGTTGTGATAAAGTTCTCAACGCCTTTGTTTTTGAGTTTCCTTTCTTGGCATACACGCAAAAGTTTACCTGTTGCGTTAAACGTTTTCATTAGTTCGATAGGATCTTGTTTAGCTAGTAGTTTTAGAGCACCGTCTTTTGTTACGTTAGGATCGAAGGCTTTGGCAAGATTAAAAGCTGCTTCGCTGTCTGGCTGTAAATACATCGCCTCTTCGTCGGCAGCGCCGCTCTGTATGATCGCTTTATTGAAAAGCTTTTCATTTTCTGAATACAAATGAAGTTCGACCCCACCACCTCCATAGCTTTCCCCTGCTATAGTTACTTGACCAGGGTTACCTCCGAATGCTGCAATGTTCTGTTTAATCCACCTGAGAGCGGTGACTTGATCTCTGAGTCCTTGATTACCAGGAATATTGTCAGTACCTAAGCAGAAGAACCCGTATGGGCCCAATCTAGAGTTGACGGTGATAACAATGATGTCGTGTTTGACCAAATATTTGCCGTCGTATTCACCACCACTCCCAAAGACGAAGCCGCCACCATGGAACCAAACCAGTACTGGTAGATGTCTCTTGGTGGTCTTCGGCACGAAAATGTTTAGTCGTAAGCATTGCAGAATACCTTCAGCGGAGAACACTGCTTGTGGACATTTTATTGAGGCATCTGATGCAGCGAATGGAGTCTTAAAGTCTGGGTATGGTAAGGATACCTGTAAAAAATAAAGTTATTTGTTTTAATTACTTAAAACTCACCGGGATTACATATTTATAGTTTGAAATGAAACTTTCAGTCCATTTGTATTTTTTTTAAATTTACTAGCTGACCCAGCGAACTTCGTACCGCCATAAAAATAGGGGCAGGTGATAGAAAAGAAAATTTAGGGTTGTATTTATTTTTTAATATCACATTACAAAAAAAAAAATCTTGTCCAAAAAAAATTTTAGGGGTGTGTAACGTAGTGTTCTATCAATTTCCTGGGATAACATTCCTCCTACCCCATATGAGAATAACTACGTTACAATACCCAATAGTTTGATTTTTGGCGCGAATGCGTATTGTAGGTTTAAGAACACTACGTTACAGGTGGACAACCATTATCACTTAAGGATATGAAAAATAGATAGTAGCCGATTCTCAGGCCCACGGAATATGCATATAAAATTTCATAAAAATCGGTCAGGCTGTTTCGGAGGAGTATGGTAACTAACATTGTGACACGATAATTTTATATATAAGACTAGCTGACCCAGCGAACTTCGTACCGCCCTAAAAAAATAGGGGTTGTCCAGCGGACAAAATTGTGAATCTAAACCATACTCAGATCCCCTTGAACACACACAAAAAATTTCATCAAAATCGGTCCAGTCGTTTAAGAGAAGTTCAGTGACATACACACTCACAGAAGAATTATATATATAAAGATAGTCTACCAAACCGCGGGCTATTAAAACAATTGCTTACTAATATTATAATATGAGACAGGAGGACTATAATTTAATAATTAAAACATTTTAATATAAAATTATACGTAGGCACTTTGTCCCAGCGCGGACGTCGAACGAAAAGCGAGTAAAACTAGAAACAAGTTGGCGAGCAGGAAGCGAGTGTATAGTTCCTATAGTTTTATCGCTGGACTATTAGTGAGTGTGCGAGTACGACGGGCGTTTACTCGTACCACTCGCTCGCGTAGACAATCCTGAGTAAAAATGCACACGCGCTCGTTCTAAGAAATGTGTCACTGAGCGAGCTATCTTTGATAGCTCTTTTCGCTCAGCGCCAAACTAGTTGAGATGGTTCTCACCGGCGGCAGTGAGAACAGTTAGCGATCAACTATTATTTGTTTACACGGAATATAGGTATATCAATTGAGCGATTCTTGAGCGAGAAAGTAGCCGGTAGCTAGTCGCCTCCTCGCCGGGCGGTGGGACTATAATTATTTATAGGCGAAGTTAGTTTAATAGGTCATAAATAAGTTAATGCGACGAAAATTTCAAGAAAACATTTGTCGAATATTCTCATGTTAATTATGATAATGTAGGAACAATTTTTTGTCACGAAAATTTCACGGAAACAATTTGTTTTGTGTCTCGATATGATAGCATCATGTTTAATCTACATTTAGTAATACCTAGTCTTAAAAATGAGTAGGTACTGACTGTACCTGAATTGCACGCATAATTTCCTTATCGATTCATTTTACACCCGTTTACTAGGGTTGTACATTTTTACTCGAAGAAAATCACACTATTATTATAAAGGCGAAAGGTGAGTGTGTATGTTTGTTACTTCTTCACGTATAACGGCTGGAGCGATTTTAATTAAATTTGGTATGGAGTTAGCTGACCTCCTGGATTAACACATAGGCTACGTTTTACTGCGGGAAAATATACCTAATAAACCGCGGGTACTACCGAGGGGCACAGCTAGTATTTGATAATGATGAAAAACTATAGTACCGATTTATTCATGAAATGAAATTATATTTTATTCAAATTGAATTATTGCAAGCTCTTTCGAATCGTCCAATATTTTTTCATTCCACCAATTCAGGACATCTGTTAGCTAATGAGAAGATTAGTCGCAAGAAGTTCATCAGCATTTAACAGAAGTAGCAACATTTACATTATAATTATGTCGCTACCAATACAACGTCCACTCACATTTTTATTGCTGTGTCATGCAAACAGTGTTCTTATTAGGTATAACGTTAGTGCACACTCATTTCGCTGGCAGCACCCGTTCACGAGCATGACGCATGAAGCAGCCATCGCTTCGCTCAACCATATTTTAGGGAACGTAACGACCCGTCTCACACGACAAGTTGAATAAGGGTGCTTGCAATTGTACATAGATACATTCACGCCATATATACATTTTTATAATTTATTAATGATAATGGATACAATTCCTTCTGTCGTATACATAAATATACAAATCTTAATCTTCTTTTTTTACATTAGAATGTCGGTGTGACGCATTCTAGTATTTCTTGGAGTGTTTGGCATGAAATGTATCGAGTTAGTTTTCTCGATAAGCATCTGTGAGGTAGTCAACACTTCAATAAAGTTCTCACGTCCACTTGACCGGAATAGCGTATTTAATGATTTCACCAATCCTTCACTTTCGCAGATGGTTGTAACACAAAATCACACCAATTTTATTTCACAAATCCACTATGAACGAATATAAGAATAATTAAAATAAGACGCCAACCGCTCGCCAATAACTCTCACGCCATATATCCTTTCTCTGGGTTGGAAGAGCATCAAAGTTGTATTTTGGCATTGGGTCTAAGATCCCGATAGAAATATGAAAACTATATCCTGCCAGCCCTTGAACGAAGAATCTCCATGTGCCAGCCTATCGCCTATGACAGATTCTAACTACATATTTTACGCTCCAATTAGCCTAGCTAGCCCCATAGTAAGCACTGTAATGCTTGTGCGATATAAGTGCAACGGATAGAAGTAGATTTATAAATATAGTTTTCATATCGCTCGTATCTATTTATCTACATCTATATATATAAAACTCAAAGGTGACTGACTGACATAATGATCTATCAACGCACAGCCCAAACCACTGGACGGATCGGGCTGAAATTTGGCATGCAGGTCTACCTGCATCCGCTAAGAAAGGATTTTGATCAATTCTTCCCCCAAGGGGATAAAATAGGGAATGAAAGTTTGTATGAAACTTTGTCAATTTTAAACCGATCAGGCTGAGACTTTGCATGCAGGTATAAGAAGAATCACAGATGAATGTCATTGTGTATAGTACAAGCCTGAGAACAAAAACTGTAGTCTACACTTCAGCTCTACACCGAAGCGAAACGAGGGCGGGCGCTAGTCATCATATAAACATTGACCGGGATTCGAACCCGTTACCCAACCAACCAATAATTGACATTCTCCTAACGCAACACAACATAATTATGGTATTTTGCTGCAGTACACTATAACTCCTAACTCTGCAGTACTTTTTTCTACTCTGAGTAAAAATAAAATAATCCAGCCAGATTCTTATAATATACACATATATATTCGATTTTAAATAACAACATTTTGAAATCAAACTTACCCCAAATGGATTTGATTCGTCCACCAAAGCGTACGGAACGCCAAAGAAAGTTGTATAGTTTCCTTCATCTTGTCCCGTCACAGGACCTTTGGCTGTATGCACCAAAATACCATTGCATACATTCACGTAAAATAATAACACAAATATGAGATACATGACCAACATTGTTTAAAGCCAAATGAGAAATGCCGCAATTCGAGAACATTTTATAGTTTTAAATGCATAATTTTTCCTGTTTACTACGAAGTACTTAACAAATACAGGGTTGTCATCTTTTAAAATATTTAGCACGACTTAGCGCTGAATAATAAGACTAAACTTTGTCCCTAAGCGATGAACATTGTTTTCTGTATTTTCCTTGCTATGCAGATGAACACTCATAGGCCTGCTGAGAGCCGTAAAACCGCACAAATAAATATTTGTTTAGGCTCGAGTCGATCGGAAAAGACAAACAACTTCTTTCTATCTACATAAGTACACGCTATGTCTTCGCCGGAGTAGCCAGAGAGAAAAGAGAACCACAAGGCACTGTCAATACCATACACAAATATTTTGCTTAAAACGAATTTATTACTGTACCCTTGGTACGAGTTTGAGCTCACGAAAACTATCATAGTTTTCGTAATTGTAAATTATGTTTCTATGTCCATTTTGGTGAAAAGTAACCAAATATTCTTAAAATTTAAAAAGACGCAAACGATTCAATGATAAAATTTAAACACTGTTTATTTGTATTGAAATGAAAACAATAAAAACAGTACCCTTGCCTTAGTACGAGTGCGAGCTCACGAAAACTATCACAGTTTTCGTAATTGTGAAACTCGTACTAAAGGTACTGTTTAATGAATTAGGAATTGGCGTGAGTGTTCGAAATATTTATTTGTTATGCTCTTAGTATTTATTTATTTAAAGCATAACCAATACCTCAAGAATGACCTTTGACAGATCCCGTATTTGTATTGCCAACGTCAAAGTATATATGGAAGCTAGGCAGCGCCCCTACTAGACCTAAGAATAAACTAGCTTGGGATTAGTTCTTAAATTTTGACATGGCGATACCAAAACTTTCTTGCTAGTGGCTTTGGGGTGCAGGCCAATTTAAAATTGCATACATATGATGTGAAGAAAATAGTACAGTTCCAGCCATTTCCACATTGCCGGCCTGAACCTAATCCGTGGTGCTTCTTGATTACACACTAATAGATAAACCATACCATGGTAGTATTATTAAACTGCCTTCTTCTGTAAGGTTGTACATGATTGTGAATGTTGCTACTTCTGTTAAATTCTGACGAGTTTCTTGCGACCAATCTACTCATCAGCAGCCGCGGGCGGCGTCTGTCTGTGAGACACTTAATATTGAATATATTTCATCAATGGCTGTATATCTTGCAAGATTGTTAAACCTATTCTCTTACACTCTTACTCCCATCCTATAAACCTTTTATTTATTTTCTGTTTCGTTTCCTTTCCTCTCTTCTTCCTTCGCCTCTCACTATTATTAAACCGTCCTCTCCTCTCCCTGTCTTTCCCACCCATTCGCCTCCCTGGCTGCATCTCGACGCGGCCTCGGATTCTGATGGGGCTACTCTACCATCTATCGAATCCTCTACATCACAATTATGTTATATTCATCAACTTAAAATGTAATAAATAAATGTTTAAAAAAAATCTACTCATCAGCTAAAAGATGTCCTGAATGGATGGTAGGAAAAAATATTGGACAATTCGAAAGAACTTTCAATAAGCCAATTTGAATAAAGTATCATTTCATTTCATTAAGAAATCGCTATAGTTTTTATCATTATCCAATATTTTCTTCGAGTAAAAATAAGTAACCTTAATTAATTACATACCCAGATAGGCGCTACCTCTTTTAAAAGAAGTAAAACTAGTATTTAAACTTAATTATTTTAATATTTCTTAATTTTACAATAAACATATTGTATAAGTGCTAAGATGAAACTTCAAACGCGTGCTGAGGGGTATGGCATCCTATATTTGCCATATTTTCGCCAAAACGTGTTCCAGAATTCCATTCGATTTTGATACACTTTTTCCTTCATCTTCATCTGTAGGTCGATGTCTAGATACGGCTTGGTGTTTTGTGATGTCTGTTGCCATCGTACAGTTATCAGATCTGATTCATTGAGTGTCGGGTTTCTGAAAAAGAATAAGGTAGTTAAATAGTATTTCGGCATCAACAGATACTTCAGCAGATATAATATTATCTACTAATGTACCCACTGCTGAAGCACAGGCTTTCCCTACGGATCGAATAGTAATATTTGTTCATGACAGTTACTGTCAAATTGGTGGATGCTAATGACTACAAATGCAGAAAGGAGCAACGGCTTAACGTGCCGTCCGAATTACGGAGAAGCACGAAATAGTAAGTGATTCGGAAGGCACGTTAAGCCGTTGGTCCCGCACTGGGACCGCGTGTTGGGTCATTGTCTAATCTCCCTTATATCATCCATAAGGAAGACATGTGCTCCATCAGTGGGGATATTAATAGGCTGATGATGACGAAACAGTAAATTATTGATCAAAACCCATGCGAAAGATAATTAATTTTACGAGCGTAGATCAGTGATAAACTGATGGTAGTTAGCGCGTATTTAAGAAAAATTATTGAACTAAATATATATATTTATTTATTATCTGAATAATAACTGAAACATAAGATTGGTAATATATTTATGGGAAAATGCATTATACTTTTCAATAAATTACAACAAACGATTATACTGGGACGTGTAAAAGCGCTTTTTATAATTATGTTTGCAAAAAATAAATGATTTTAAAGACTTTTATTAAAAGAACCCTTTAGAATCAATAGTGGTATTTACCCGAATTTGACGAAATTCGCCCACATCTTTGTCATTCTGTCTCTCATTAATATGTTGTCTTCTCCCTTTAACTCTCCTGCTGTTTGCCAGTCAAACAGATACTGTAGCTCTTCTGTGTGGTGAGCACCAACTCCTTCAATGTTCTTATAAGGGCTATTACCAATATATGAAAACAAATATTTATAAACCATGGCTCCCTGTTCAAGAAATCTATTCACAGATCTCTCTGCAGGATAGTTCACCATAAAATCACTTGTGAAGTCTATCAATTCCAACATTACGTCTTTGGAAATATTTTTGTTACCTAAATAAAAGCTTTTCACCGATTGTACAGCTTCCTTCGTTGTCTTTTCATCCAATCTAAAATTGTATTTTATCTTCTCCAAGAAAAAGTCTCTGCCATAAGCCTCATTTGCTAGCTTAAAAAAATCAGCAAACGTTTCTTTACTGGTGTAGCCAATCATAATATGCGTACCACTAACCTTTAGAGGACAATGTAAGGCTTTAGAATTTGCAGTAAAGAAGTTTTCTATTTTTTTATTAGGCTGTTTTCTTTCCTCACAAGCTCTAAGGAGCATACCAGATGATCTAAAAGCTTTCATTACTTCAATAGGGTCTTGTTTAGCTAAAAGACTTAACGCGTCTTGGATCTTCACCGTTGGATCAAATGTCTTTGCTAAAGTATATGCAGCGTTGTTATTAGGTTCTACAATTAAGGCTTCGGCGTCAGCACCTCCGCTCTGTATGATAGCTTTGTCGAAAAGCTTTTCGTTCTCAGAATACAGATGCAGATCCACAGAACCACCTCCGTAGCTTTCCCCGGCTATGGTAACTTTGTCAGGGTCACCGCCGAACGCTGCTATATTTCTTTTGATCCACCTGAGAGCGGTAACTTGGTCTTTCAAACCTTGATTACCAGGAACAGTGTCTGTGTTCAAGCAGAAGAAACCATAAGGTCCCATCCTGTAGTTTATTGTGACCACGACTATTTCGTGTTGGACCAAATGTTTGGCGTCGTATTCGCCAGCGCTGCCAAATATGAAGCCTCCGCCATGTATGTATACGAATACTGGGATGTTTTTGTTGGTCGATTTAGGCACGTAGATGTTGAGACGGAGACATTGAAGTATGCCGCTCTCAGTGGGAACTAGCTGAGGGCATTTCACTGATGAATCCGTCGCGTTGAATGGTGTTGTGAAGTCTGGATGTGGGAGGGATCTCTGTGGATTAAATGATTTTTTTTGTAAATAAGGTTAGTACGAGTTGGACTTGCAAACGAAGAGGAACGTCGTGTCGTACGAGGTTATTAATATTTTCAGTACAACCTAAGTTTCATGCTTTAATAATTTTGGAATAAAGTTTATTTTCGTAGGGTACGGATTTAGCGGATGAGGGCTACGCGAAAACAAGTGTAAAATGGCTCAATTACACTTGCTTCTTAGCTCGTATTCGTGTGCATGACTGACGGATTAATTGAGCACGTAGGCTCTGTAATGGGCTTTCATTTGTCACCCTTTCTCCCTAATTGATCTTACATTTTTTGTGCCTTGCCTTGCCTGCCAAGTCCGTACTTTCCGAAAAGGAACTTCGCTCCAAAAAATCACGAACTATCAAAAGGAAGAGGAAATTAAAATATCATGTGTGAATAGTTTTTCGTTGAATTTCGAACAATATATTTTTAAGCGCATTTGTTAAAGAGACGATTACTATCCGGTGATTTCTAACCGGCTTCTACCCGCGCCGGTGCCGGCTAAGCTTGTTACGAACACGGTTTGTATGTTTGTATCGAGCCCAAACCGTCGCCAGCGCTCAGATATAATACTCTGCCCGCTCACGTGTTCCCTCCATCTTACTACCTGGGATCCTTTAAAAGAGGCGTGCAGAAGCAACATGCAGGCCGGCAGGGTGAGGATGGCTGGTGTGGCAGGTAGAACTGGTGTATCAGCTATCTTCGCGTCTGGACTTCACCTTCACTTAACATCAGGTGGGGTGGAGTCATTTGTCGGACCTATCTATAAAAAAAACTAGGATTAGTTAATCCATGTTTTGTCTCTGTCTGTTAATAACAAATGACATTTGAGAGACATGAACAAAACACAGCGTAACTAGTCTAAGCTTATTCATTTATTTGTTTTTTTTAATAAGCGGGTTTGAGTACAAAACCCCAAATACCAATAATTGAAATAAAAATTAAGGTATTGTAGGTAGCCAGTTTAGATAAAGTGGACAATATTAAAAGTAACGATATATACGTAACATCAACAATTTTAATTGCTCGTTATCACGGAATTGGAACCAAAACAAATGTGTCACTCACTACTTGAGCAACAACCGCACTCAGATACTTACTTAAGACTAGATAGATAGATAGATAAGACTTTCTTCGCACCAATATGTACACATACAAAATTGACAAGACAAATTTTACAATTAGATAAATCCTTTAAAACAGGCAACACTTTATATTTATACAACTATACTATGATATTTATGTGTGCAGCAGCGATGCGAATGGGCGAACACTCAGCGAAACATTTACTCAGAGAGTAAATCGCTGATTTTCAGTTCTGACCCATATAGATGAGGTCACGAATTTAAATGTCAGATTAAAATTCACAACGAAATTAAAAAAAAAATCGATAAAATTATTACGCGTTCATTGGACATATTATTATTATGGTACTTTTTCATAAAAAAAACATAAATAATTAGATAAATTAATGATAGAGAAAAGGGTTTCGGTGAAAATAAAATAAAAGCACACAACACTTCTATTATCTTTAACTAGCAAACCAATGAACCAAATGTTCACCAAAACCTGATTTAAAAAAAATGTATTTAATTAATTGAGAACTTCGAAGATTTTGTGTGGTTTCGTTTGAAATTCGTGATTTCTCGAAAACCGGAAGTGCTACGTTACTCAAATCCGGTTTGTAGTCTTATCAGACTATTGTTAACTTATAACTTAAATATTCTCTTTATCTATCTCTTACAGTTTGGCCGCTGAAACAGCACCACAGACAGACGGACGGACGGACTTGTCTAACAGATAAGAGATGGGTTGACGAAGTCGATACTATCACTTTCATTGAGATAACTATAGATATATGATAAGATAACACGCAATAAATGTTTACTCTCAATTCACAACGAATTAGTCCTATACCAAACAAAGCTATATTAGGTGCTATAGTAACTAAATAGCATATATACTTAATAAGTAAATAATATGTTAAAAAACCAAGAGTCGGGAGGAAATATTTGTTCTCGTCACATAGTATTTTATATATGTGCATCAATTTGTATTTCAATATTATTATTTTTATTGCTGTTATTAAGTAAATTTTCATTTTATGTAATTTTTAGCAACTTTGAGCTATCGCAATATTATTTGTCTCCAACACGCATACTGGTTCATCATACCAGTCAACCAACTGGTAGAGAATGCCTATGGCATTAAGTCCGCCGTTTGCTTATGTTTGGCAATGAAGTTTAAATTAAAAAAAGATAGTAAATGCCCTTAAGTTGGTACTGTAAGTACTGGTAGTGAAGCGGAGAGCTAGTGGAATGGAATATGAAGGCTAGGATTTAGGACGCAATGGGTTTAATAACACGATTTTATAGTAAAACACAAAATAATATTATATCTGATGTCAGGCAAAGACTATGGACACACAATAACAATTTTCATAGCAAAAAATTATAAAAATGTCTGTCCGATACGTATTATCGCATCATTTGCTATGCAAGTTTTAGTCTTAATAAAATCATTATAGAGGAAACACGTGTTATCAATTCGCAATCACCTGATAAAGAAATCTCAACCTTATGTCGAAGACATAGTGGTCCTTCGAGCCGGATTACGACGTAGTAAACAACTGCAGCGGCCGGTCGGGCGAATACAATAGATGAATAGACGGCCTTTTGTGTGATTTTTTTACGTACTGGTTCGATGCAGTTTTTTCTATATGAAGTTTACATTAATGCAAATATAAGTGAACGTTGAGTGAGTGCATTCTTGAATATTATTGAGTTTTACAACCGATAATAAACTACATAAAGATGACAACGCCGACTGCGGAACAAAGTACGTATATGAATACATTGGAAGACATAGCTAGTATGCTACAAAAGGCACAAATAAATATCAAAAAATGCCCTAAACAAAGATTAACTGTTGGTTATATAAAAACAAGATTAAAAACTATAGAAGATTATTGGAGCGAATTTAAACAAACGCATGACAAACTTATCAGGTGTACGCCGCGTGAACAAAGGGGAATGATGCCATATTTTCTTCGCGAAGAATATTATACATACGAAGATTTATACATATCCCTTCAAGCTGATTTGACTGATTTATTGATATCATTAGAAAGACCAACTAAAAGGAGTGAAGACAATTCCAGTATATCTAATTCAAATGTATCACAAGATGGTCAGTTTTCGCTCGCTAGATTGCCAAGAATACAATTACCTACCTTCTCGGGGAGATATGAAGATTGGCCTACATATCAAGATTTATTCACGGCGCTTGTTCACAACACTTCTATTAGTAATGTACAAAAATTGAATTATTTGAAACAAGCATTTCTGGAGAAGCTGAGATGTTATTACGACATATTCAAATAACGGAGGATAATTATACTCAAGCGTGGCAATTGCTTAAAGGGCGTTTCGGCAGTAAGAAAATGATTGTGAATTCAGTTATGAAAAAATTATTCAATTAGAAAAAAGTGAATAATCTTTCGGCCAGTCAAATCAAATCATTAGTTGATACAACAACAGAGTGCATTAATAGTTTGAATAATTTAAAAATATGTACAGACTCTTGGGATCCGGTAATCATATTTCTAGTTGGACAAAGATTGGACTCGGAGTCGTTAAAGGACTGGGAAGAACATGCTTACAAGAAAAGTGATGAAATGCCAACATGGAGTGAATTGAAACAATTTCTTGAAACAAAGTTCCGTACCCTTGAGTTAATATCTTCTATGGCAACTACTTCAACAAGGGATAAGTCTCAAGTTTCCAGGTCGTTTCACGTCTTGACAACCAATGAAGAAGAAGACGATAGTTTGCAAATATCCGTTAATGCTAATTTTAATTCACAACATTTGTGTACATATTGTAAGGGTAATCACTATATTTTTAACTGTAAAGAGTTCGGAAAATTAACATTAGAACAAAGACATGATCATGTTAGAAAAAACCGTTTGTGCTTTAATTGTTTGATACCTAACCATAATGTATATAAATGTAAACAAAGGAAGACATGTCGCATTTGTGGCAGAAAACATCACTCACTGTTACATGAAGAAAGAGGAATAAAACAAGAAGGTGAAAAACTGGAAGATAAGACTAACACTGAAAGGGAGATACAAATACAACCAGAACAAAGGATAACAACAGCACATTTTTCAAAGGAACAATTTGGTCATGAAGTTTTATTGGCAACAGCACAAGTACGTGTCAAGTCAAACAATGGTGAGACCTATATACTTCGTGCTCTTATTGACCAAGGGTCAGAGGCTTCATTTGTTTCTTCGAGAGTAGTCGATCTGCTAGGTCTGAAACGAAAAACCATTAGTGGTGAAGTCTCTGGGATAGGAGGAGAAAACCATAACAAAATAATGATAAAACACTTAGTTGATTTGTCAATTACATCACGATTTCATACTAATGTGACGATTGGAGTGCAAGCTTATGTATTGAAATCAATTGCTGCCAGGTTACCTTCTAAACATATCGTGGTAAATGGGACACAGCTTGAAACATTAAATTTAGCAGATGCTAATTATTATGTTCCAGGTAATATAGATATGCTACTTGGAGCGGACGTGTTCTGCAAGGTTATAGAAGATGGTTTGATAAAATTGTCGTAGGGAATAATAGCACAAAAAACCATTTTTGGGTGGATTCTTTCAGGTCAAAGGGAAGAAACAAAGACAAATGAACACAAATTAATCACATTACATGTAAGAAGGATGGTAGCAGAAGACAATGATTTATTAAGAAAATTTTGGGAAATAGAAACAGATTTATACAAAACGAAGAAGTGGCTAACTAAAGAGGAAGAAAAATGCGAAGAGATATACAAGGCTACAACTGAACGAGACGGTGAAGGAAGATATATTGTACATTTACCCCTGAAACAAACAATTCAAGAAACAATCAACATTTGTGGTGATACAAAACAGCAAGCAATCAAGAGATTTCAAAACCTGGAGAAAAAGTTTATAAATAATTCATCTTTCAAATCACACAAAGGTTATCCATGAATACAAAGAAATGGGACATATGAAGTTATCTGAAACAGTAGAGTCGGGTGAAGATAATAATTCAATTTACTTACCGCATCACGCAGTACTGCGCGAAGACAAGGAAACTAGCAAGCTGCGTGTTGTCTTTGATGCTTCCGCAAAAGGATCGAAAGGCCAATCCCTCAATGAGTCAATGTTAGTTGGACCAGTTTTACAACCGGATCTTCGTAGTTTGATAGTGAAATGGCGCACATACGAAATTTGTGTAGTTGGAGATATTGTCAAAATGTATAGGATGATTCTTATGAACCAGGAACACATGAATTTGCAAAAAAATGTTTGGCGAGATAACTCGGATGAAGTACTTGAAACTTATAATTTGACCACGGTTACTTTTGGTACAGCTGCAGCTCCTTTTTTGGCTGTACGGACTTTAAACCAGTTGGCTGACGATGAATCTCATGATTTTCCAGTTACAGCATCTTTAATGAAGGGGTCATTTTTCATGGACGATCTTATGATAGGAAACAGTGAAGGAGTTGAAAAATCTAAGGTAATGTGCGGAGAAATAAAGGAAATATTGAAAAGAGGAGGATTTAAAATGCAAAAACGGTCAAGTAACTCAGAAG